TAACCGTCTGGCCAAGGTAGTTAAGGTCACAGGCACTGCACTACGCTCTATAGACGACGTTCGTCGTCTGGAAGTTTGGTCCACGTTTGATGTATCGTGTTTAGCTGTCGGATTGTCGCCTCCGAATGAGGAGTCGGCTGTCTTGGCTGCTTTAGTGTGCTCCTTTATAAGGTCTTCTGACGTATCACCTAAGTAATTAAACTCACAGAACCTGCACTAGACTCAGTAGATGTTCGCAGTCTTTTCACTTGGCGAAGACTTTAGGTCTCACGTTTAGCTGGCAACTTGCTTAGGTTTACCACGTACTCCAACTATTTTAATAGGTCGGCTTTCACCCGTCGTATATAGGCCGTCTCCAGGTAGCGCAATATAACAGTAGTTCGTGCCCGAACAATTACTCGAAAGGATGTTTTAGGGCCCACAGAGTGACCTGTATTAAGCAAATGTTTCTTAATGGATGAGTGTGCAATTCTGTTTTCTGGCTTTAGAGGCCATCTAGACAGGTGCTCTATTGATCTAGCTGTTTGTTACTGGTCACCCTGTGGACCGAAGAAATGTGTTATTGGATATTCTTTGTTATGAAGATGGTAGTTTGGGTCATATTTGTAGACTCAAGAAAAATATGTAAACTAATTGCCGAGAAGACTGAACGTCCAGACGCTGGGTCAATTACAAAAGCTTTAGGGATCACCTCTTTAAAAAGCACTCTTTCGACACTCGGCTGACGAATATCTGTGTAATTTACCTGTTTTAAAGTTAGAGTCAAAGTACAAATGAGGAACTTTGACCGTTTTGTGATTTTCCTGAGAATTCGGAGTTTGAAAATGCATCAAACGGGATCTAATACATACCAAAAAATTTGAGAAAACTGTTAATCTTCCATGTGCTTCGTTTTTACATTTAACAATTTGCTAAAACTATATTATAGAACAAAAACAGGAAGCTCCGTGTCTCCGATTTCACATAGCTTTTGACAGTGTCCGTCTCCACGGTAAAATTCACGCATCTGGTTGCCTGTCCCAATTCTTGATGCGGTAAAAAAAATATGCGCCCAAACAAGTTTACCACTGCAGTTTGTGGCGAAAAAATCCTTCAAAGGTTGGCAAAAACATCATAATTTTTAAACCTGACTTTGTTCCTTGTTTCTGAAGAAAAAAAAGACACGGATCGTCACACCTGCCGTCACTCGATTTTCATTGATTTAAGGTCCGATTTTCCTTATCAAGAAAGGATTTATTGAAACCACCCTTGCCAATACCGATGTTCTTCTAGGGGACAACGCACAAAAGCGAGACGTTTTTTTCTTCTCTCATCTTAAATATAGCACAGGGCATTTCTTGAATATTCGGCAACCATCAAATTTGCCGTAATCCTGTCTGTTTTCCTCCAATATACCAGATTGAACTAACAGCTTTCTTGACAAGTCAAGTAGTTTGCATTCCGAGGTGATATGACGAAAAGAAAGAAGGCCTTCGAAAAATTGAGTTGTACTCGTGAATTTTCGAGCAGGTAGCACTTGCTCTTCCTCAGACTGAATGGCAAGTGAAAGCTGGGATTGTTTTACTCCACAACCAAGTCATTTCAGTATCTCTGTCGCCCACAAGCCCGCATCCTCACTGCGCGCAACCGCATGTCGAGTAAAGGACCCCTACCCGTAAAACAACTAAGAAACGTTGTTTACCACATACCGTGCGCCAGCTGTACTTGAGTGTATGTTGGCCACGGGGCCGACATCTCGAGACTCGCATCAAGGAACATAAGTTAGCCGTTCACCGACGGGACCCT